ARAWRRAAAGGWATAGAGAAGAGAGGAGAAAGAGAAGAGAGAGYASTAGAACACAAGAGTTGAAAGGAGGAGCAGAATCTTAATGTTCTGCCGCCGCCACTTTATTTAGTATTTATAGGTTATGCTCATTACATGGAAAGGACAGATCTGCCYWTAGTATTTACATAAYAAATRGAAYAAAATAAAACTGAAATAAATAACAACTGAAATAACCAACTGACCACTAGCTAACCCTAGGATGACTAGAACTCCTTCTACCCTACGAACACAGTGGGACCATAGCTGTGGGGCCCACATCAGTGTTCTCTACAATTAAGAATGACATTTTCTCATACAGCCAGGGGGAGAAAAGAATTCATGAATACTATGTTGGCTTTGTCAATCTATGGATTGAATATGAACTAGTGCATTTGGGTGAGAACCCATCTGATTGTTGTGTTAAGTTTATGAAGAAACACTTTGATAACAGAAAGGTCATGTATTTTCTTATGCATCTCAGACCTGAACTTGAAGTGGTCAAGTCAAATATTCACAGTAGAGGTACCGTTCCATTTATTGATGTAATTCTTGGTGAATCATGCATGAAGAAACCAGACTCGTCACCCAATCCACCCTTAACAATAAGAAAGGCTCTATTGTTGATACTGTTTTCTTAGCCAGTAAGTCTAAGACAAGAAAGATTTACAATGGTTCGGTGCTATGAGTGCAAAGAATTCAATCATGTGATTTTCCATTGCAAAAAGAAAAATGTCTGCACTTATTGTAAACAACATGGCCACGTCATTACCTAGTGTCCAACCTAACCTCCCAGGGTCAAGACAGAAGATGGGTCAAAAAAAGGTTTATTAGGCATCTATGGAGATTTTGAGCAACACAACTTCTACCCAGTCAACCATTTCCTCACCTGTATCTACTAAAGGAGAGGCTTAAGGTGTTCTCATGGAAGAGCAGACACGTCAACTTGTATTCTCAGCCACTTCCCCTGCATTCTCTGCTATTGGTATGGTGACTCCTCCTATTATAGTTCTTCCCCGAGTCACTTATGGAACACTGATTCTAGAGTTGTACATCTTCATTCTTCTTGATACAAGACATCTTTCATAAAAAAAAAAAAAAAAGAAACAAAACAAAGAGATCCTCTTTCCACTTCTTCCTCCTCCTCATCCCCTTCCTCTTAGGAGGATTATGCTTTCTTGTGCTCGAGAGGCTTACACCTCTTACATTTTGAACTACACCTCAAGCCTCTAGGCAGTGAAACACCTCGCATCACGCCTCTGTGTTTTAAAACATTGCTACCAGTTGTTGTGTTTCTTTGGTGGTCCTCTCATATCTTGGAAACATAAGAAGCAGTAGACCATACCTAAGTCCTCTACAGAAGCTAAATCCTGGGCCATGTCTTCAGTTTGTGGTGAGATCATATGGCTTAAGGTCCTAATGCATGACTTGGGCATGGATCATTCCTCCCCCATTCCCTTATTTTCTGACAACATGAGTGCTATCAAGATTGCCTCTATTCCAGTCCTCAATGAATGTACTAAACATATTGAGGCCGGCTATCCCTTAATTTCTAAGGCTGTCAATTGAGGCTAGCTATCTACTTCACTTGTAATCTCACTTTTTTCATTAATCAATAAATTCTGAACTGTTATTGAAAAAAAAAATATGTCTAGTGGAGCATCTTGGACTATATTCTCAGAAGAACGGGCTTTAGGATCAAGTGTTGGAGTTGGATATCATCTTGCCTAACCAAGGCTAGATTTTCCATCATCTTAAATGGCTCCCCAAAAGCATACTTTAGAGGAAGAGGTCCTCTGTAGGGGGATTCTCTTTCCCCCTTCCCCTTCATCATGGTCATAGAAGGCTTTTTCAGCAGATTAATCATGAGAGCAGAGCAAGGTGGCTTAATTGAAGGATTTAGATTGCAGCAGAATACCCAATCTATCTCTTTGTTACAGTTTGTAGACAATTCCTTAACTTTTGGGAGAGCAAAATCATCAGGTATGCTGCTATTGAGGTGTGTCCTTATGTGCTTTAAAGCTTTATCGGGTTTGAAGATTAATATTCACAAGAGTGAATTGATTCCAATTGGTGATGTGCCCCATATCAATGAGCTGGTAGAAACTCTGGGCTGCAAAATTGGTCTCCCTTCAAACCCAAAGAGATTTGGAATCCAATCATTGTAAGATTCCAAAAGAAATTACTAGGATATAAAAGAGAATATTTATTTGAAGGAGGAAAGTTACACTAATTCAATGTGTTTTATCAAACTTTTCAATTTATTTATCTTTCTCTGTTTACTGCCCCAATCTCAGCTATCAACCAGCGGGTAAATATGAGAAGAGATTTTTTGTAGGAAGGTATAAATGATACAAATAAGTTTTATCTTGTGGAATAGAATCAGGTTTGCACCACCAAAGATAAAGGTTCTCAAGATCATGAACACAGCCTTACCAGGATAGTGGTTATCGAGATATAGCCTTGAAAAAGAAATGCTGTGGAGAAACTTAATCACAGCTAAATATGGTAGCACTAAGTTAGACTGGCTTTCGAAACCCACACCCCCCACCATTACAAGTCTATCTGGAAGGGGATCATGAAAACTCATCGTCAGTTCTCCAAATCTCTTAAAGTCAAGTCTGGAAGAGGAGACAGGATTCTATTTTTGAAAGGCACTTGGTGTGGTAGCAGACTTCTCCCATCCACACATATTCAATTTGGCAGAACAGGAGACTGCCTAAGGATTGCTTCCAAATATCAGCTGACCAGGTGGTTTGGGTTCCCAAAATGAGGAAAATTCAGGACTGGGAGTTTCAAGAGCTGCTCTCCTTCCTAGATTCCATCAATAAAGTCCATTTGTCCAAATTCAGAATATCAGATCTTATGGTCTTCTAACATTTCTGGTCATTTCTCTGTTAGTTCTTCAATCAGCTGAAGGGGCAGAATGAGTTAGGTGGCCTGGAGATGTTTGGAGACCTGAAGTCCCATCTAAGGTAAATTTTTTCATGTGGACAACAGTACTGGACAGAATCCTCACTTCAGATCATATGCTGAAGTATAGAGTTGCAGTCCCAAATCTTTCCTACTTTTGTAATCAAGCAAAATAATCATTCCAGCACTTGATTATCCATTGTGAGCTCACATTAGTGTGTAGAACCACTTCTTTTAGGTGTCCGGTGTGCAAAGGCTTATACTAAGAGACCTCCCCACCTTATTTTCTGCATTACCTTACAAAGGCCTTAGTAAGAGAGGTTATCTTCTTTGGAAGATGGTTCCTTTTGCTGTCAGTTGGGAGATATGACAGGGAAGAAACCGCAGAATTTTCAAAAATGCCTCCATGCCAAAGAAGAGGTTGATCAGGAGTTTCTTCATTTTATTTTCTCTTCTGCGATCACTGAAATCAGATTATTGTAGATGATTAGTTTGTAATTACATCTAGATAGATCTATATATACTCAGGCCTTTCTGCCCTCTTTGGTATAGCTTTTGGAGGAGATTACTCCCAACTTCCTCCCTAAAAGTATTTCCTATTCTTCTTTCTCCTCTTTTAATTATTCTATTCTTGGTTCTTCCCCTAACCATAGTTGCCAAGGCAACACCTAGGTGACAAGGCACCCATKCGGGTAACCTTGTTTAAATGCCAAGCTATTTTGTACATGATGCTTTGAAATATTTTGTATATTCTTTAGTTTTGAGATTATAATAATAAAATAATTGTTATTAAATTAAATTACTCATTTTGTGGGTCTTACTATTATTTTCATATTTGTTAGGGTTCAATCAACACACATGTTGGTGTATGCTGTCTTGAACCCTCAAGAACTTTAAAACCTAAACCGACAAGAAAGGAGGAACTTAAAATTTTGTCCAATCAACGAATTCTTTTCTTCTTTTCCTAGGACAAAAATAGAGATACAGACCCTATATTTTCTACTTTTCTTTTATTCACTCTTTTTCTTCTCATAAATATGTTGATTTTATATGTTTTATTTATTTTTTTATCAGCAAAATTTATATTATTATATTGATTGGAAGTGAATAAGTACAAAAGTGCCTTCACAGTACTGTCAGTAAATAAGCTGATTTACAAAGAAGCCCAGTACTAATGTTGTCTTACAGCCCCTTGTTTTTCTAGGGAGTCAGCTGGCCCATTTAAGCTCCTAACCCATATGAACGCAGAATTTAGGTCCTTTTCTATCCTCGGGTCCATGGGATATGTCTATTATATCTTGCCCAAAATTCTGCCTTCACCAAATTTGTAGTACCCAATGGCCCTGAATATAAAGCCAGTATCCTACTCTCCAAGATTCTAATTGCATCCCTATTCCTGCCAACCCCGGGTTGATTTTATATGTTTTAATATGAAGTTTATACTTTTTTATGAAGGTTATAGAGAATTATAAGTGAAAGATTGTTGTTTGTTGCTATGGAACCTAGGGACTTACCCTAGGATTCATGGTTTTCATTAAAAGGAAAAAAAATGCCTAGGCAACTAGTTGACAAGGAGCCACCCTGTCACCTAGCCTCAAACTATGTCCTTAACCTATTCCTTTTCTATTTTTGATAAGTAAACAAAGTATTTATTGAATATCAAGGAGAATAGGCATTGCAGCATCCCACAGAGAGGCACGAGGTGTTACCTCTCACACAAAAATTTAATAAGCTAGTAATAAATATCAACTACAACTGAGCCCAGTACAAACTATCCCAATTTATCCTTGTTTAGCTAACCCATCTGCCATAGCATTAGCTGTCCTCCTAACCCAAGAGATTTTGAAGTTCATGTTTCCGGTTAGCCATCTAAGCTTTCCCATCTCATCGACTCATCCCCAAAGCACCAAATTGTAGACTCTGGATCCTTCAGCCACCTCAGCCACCCTATTACCACCCTTTCAGATCCCACAACAAGACAAACAAAGAGACTTAAAAAGACAAGCACAAGAAAAAGACCTTTCAGATGAGGAACCCAGATACATCTATCCAGTTTGAGAGAATCCAAGCAAACATAATCAAGAAGTTGCAATAACCCACTCAACTCTACCATTTCAACATCCCTTAAACCTCTTCAAAAACCAAAATCCCAATTATAATTTGATGGAAGGATAGGAGGAATGATAAAGTCCGAAATACACTTGTTTTTGTACAAAGAAACTGAGTAAAGGGAGGGGTACAAATCCTTAAGAATTGAAGAACAAACCCAAAGGTCTTTTACAGTCTCCCCAGAACACACATCATACTTGATGAAACTAAGAAACTGGTGAAGAAACCCATGAATTGCTTTCCACGATGAGGCAAGGGTAGCTCATTTAGACACTCTTGCATCCCATCCAAGGTTCATCCTGCCATGAATTCTAGCTATCACCTCATGCCACAATCTGTCTTCAAAAGCCACCTCCAAATCCATTTACCTAAGAAAGCTAAATTCTTATCATTTACATTACTCAGCCCCAAGCCTCCCTCCTTTGGATATCTCTAGTCACAATTTCCCATCTCAACAAGTGATCTTTTTTATCCTCCCCTAGTTCCCATAGGAAATCCCTCATTACCTTCTCAATCTTCCAAACCTCCTTCTGTGGAATCCTAAACACTGACAAATAATACAAAGCCAGGTTTGCTAGAGTTGATCTAACCAGAGTAATTCTTCCAACCAAAGATATGTAATTCCTCATCTACACTATTAGCCTTTTTGCACACCTTTCTAAAATCGGAGATCAAAAACTACTCTCCTTGGGATTAGCACCTAAAGGAAGACCCAAATAGGTCAAAGGCCAACTAGATATGAAACACTTAAGCCTCTTTGCAATAGCCTCTAATTCTCTACCCTCCAAGTTCATCCCCACAATACAACTCTTTTCAAAATTGACTTCGAGATTTCAGACAGCTACAAATTTCTTCACCAAACCCTTAAGGTGCCCTACCATCCTTTATTCACTCCCTTCACAAAAGATTATGATATCAGCCACAAATTGGAGATGTGACTACAATATTATTGCAACCAATCTTCCACCCCTAATCACCCCCTCCCTATCCACCTTGGAAATGAGTCTAAAGACATCCACCACTAGAGTAAATATAGGAAAGGGGGTTAGGGGACCCCCTACCTTAGGCCTCTGCTTGCCTGAAAAAAATCCCTCATCACCCATTAACCAAAATAGAATAGTGACATGATTTCAAACATCCCCTTACCCATTTGCACTATCTATTACCAAAACTGCAATTTCTCATCACCTCAATCAAGAAATTCCAATCCACAAAATCATAGGCTTTCTCCAAGTCCAGCTTGCACACAAAACCCTTACGGTTAAATCTTCTCAAATCTTCCACACACTCATTGGCAACAAGAATTTGGTCAGATATCTGCCTATCTTGCAAGAAAGCACTTTTTGCTTCAATTATTTGCCTTTTTCCCTTTTCAATAATGCAAATTTTAGACCCAATAATCAAACTAGAGTTTAACAACAATTACCAATTTTAACTTGTTCAATATGTAAGTCAAAAACTCAAAGCTAAGAACATTATAAATAGGAAATTAAAAATATCGTCTACTAGAACATCATGTCTTTACAAAGACATATAAGGAAGTGAATAATGTTATAAATAATATGCATGCAATTTGAATACTCATTCCATCCACTTAATGAAGACCTAAACCAAATCAAGAAAAAAGAGTACTTATTAAGTCATACCTACGCTAAAATAATTATAAAATACTCCCTCAAAGCAAGTTTGTTTTTCAGGCATCTCCCCCTCAACAACCAAATCCTGCAATGTATAAATTTAGTTACCAAAAGCTCAAATAATATTCAATTAATAATAGCTTGGACTTTATAAGTTTCTCCAGAAATAAGCTACAAGCATGAAATCTACCAAACAACATAAAACAATTTAATTTGACTTGCTATCATGAAGTTTAACCAGTATAAAWTTAGTTACCAAGAGCTCAAATAATACTCAATTAATAATAACGTTGACTTTATAAGTTGCTCCAGAAATAGGCTACAAGCATGAAATCTACCAAACAACACAAAACAATTTAATTTGACTTATTATCATGAAGTTTAACTAATATTCAGACTACACTTTATTGTTAGAGACAAATTAAACACAAAGGGAAAGACAGGAGAATCTGTAGGGGTGCATTGGTATAAGAACAGCACCCAAAAAAATTGAAATCTATATTTAAAGGGCCACTTTGTCCTCTCATAATAACTACCGAAAAGATACAAGTAATCTAGTAATCTAGTGTTCACTATACATAATACAATGGTGCTCCCAAAGTACAAATAAATAGAAAAAAGATGATATTATCCCTCATCTCTTCTACACTCCCCCCTCAAATTGATGCCAAAGAATAAGCATTAGTCAATAAAAAAAAGTATGCTTGGCTCTAGTCACGACTTTAGTGAATAAGCCTGCCAATTGAAGTCCTAAGGAAACATGAGGAAGTGTAATATGACCTGCAAGGAGCAGATCTCTAATAAAATGACAATCAACTCCAATATGCTTCATGTGCTCATAAAAGATCACATTGGATGCAACCTTAATTGCACTAAGATTATCAACAAAGAGGGGAACTAAAAAAGAATGATCAATATGTAGATCATGTAGCATGGCTTTGAGCCAAACAATCTCACTACAAACAAAGGACATTGCCCTATATTCAGCTTCAGTGGATGACTTAGAGACAGTCTCAATTGTTTCTTGTGTTTCCTAGAAATAAGAGAATCACCAAGCAAAACACACCAACCTGTAGTAGATCTCCTAGTGTTTTAGCATCCAGCCCAATCAGCATTAACATAAGCCAAGAGAAGGGATGATAAGGAAAAGAACAAAATTGCCATGACCATATCTAATAATATAATAAATTGCCAATAAGTATGGTTGATGGGGAGCGGAGATAAACTAACCACCTGCATGGCATATGAAATATTAGGACAAAGTCATAGTGAGGTAAATCAAGCTGCCCGCTAGCTAACAATAGAGAGTAGCATCTGTGAAGAAACTCCTTGATGTACCATATTACTGTAGCTCTTATTATATTGTATCTTACTTTATTATTTTCTCTTCAGCCCTGCAAGGGCCTCTCTATAAATTCTTTAATATCTGTTTCCCTACAAGGGCCTCTCTGTAAATTCTTTAATTTCATTATCTATATAAAGGACCCTTGGGGTAGGGTCGTTGCATCCATTTTCTTCACCCCAGAATTCTGTATTCTCTGGGTTTGTTGACATGGTATCAAAGCAGGTTGCTCTGTAATTCCTGTTCTTTCTTTGCTTTCTCGTTGGCCATATCAGGGGTACTGTTTTCTAGGTGTTTCAACTGTACTCTCCAACTCCAATCCTAGTTCTCTGTGGAGGTTTCTGTCCGGTGTTAGGGCTGTGCCCAGATCTGTTTTTTTCTCACTCAGAAAATCTGTGGGATCTGAAAAGTCTTGAGGGAGTTCTGACCTTCTCTCTTGGGCGGCAGCAGCCTTCTTTCTCCTACTGTGAACTGGTTGCTCCAGGGTGGCAGCAGCCTGGCTTCTTATGGTTCAGTTTTGAACAGCAGCAGACTAAGAAATCTCAACAGTCTGGCTTCTTTCTCCTTCAACAGCAGCAGTTTTGAACTGTTTTTTTGGTTTCTTATGCTTCAGACTGAGGAACTTCAACAGACATAAGGTCCTCTCTTCAAGCTGATCTGGAAAACTTCTCATTTCAGGTTGGTGTATCTCACTATTGTCTTAATCGACTACTATCAATCCTTGGAACCCTAGTTTTGTGCTACCCTAGGGTATTTTCTTCTCTTGGTTATCAGTCCTTGGTACCCTAGTTTGTGTTGCCCTAATTTTGTGTTGTTCTGGGTTGCTTATTGGAGGATTTTGATTCTTCTATACGGTTTCTTGCTGAAGTTGCTCTGGATTGGTGTTGCCTGCATTTCATGCTTCAGCCCTGATATTATTTTTTTTTTTGAGAAATACTGTGTTCAAATGAAGTAAACATCATTGGAAGTGATGATTTGTGATTCAAACTTTCCCCCTCAAACTCTTTGTCCCTTGCTAAAACTTTCCTTATTCCTAAACTTACTGCCAACCTTATTTCAATTGTTCAAGTAGTTGATGAAGACCACATTCTAACATTTTCCTTTTATGGTTGTTTGATTCAAGACCAGTGAACTGGGAAGGTGAAAGGAAAGGGGCGTAGGATGGGCCACTTGTTTGTGTTGGAGTTTGAGAAATCACAATCAGCATCATCCTCTACTTATTTGAGCTCTTCTACATTGAGTCCTGTTTTGAGTCAGATAAACTATGTCTAGGATTTGTGGCACAAACGTTTGGGTCACCTAAATTCTGAAAAATTTAAATATTTATTTGTGTATGGTTTTATTAAAAATAAAAGTCCTTCTATGAAACCCTTTGCTACATCTTGTGTTTCTTGTTGTTTGAGTAAGAGTCGTATTTTACCATTCACTCACTAAGCTGAACATGCTACTTCACCTTTTGTGATGTTTGGACTTCACCTATTGTTTCTCAAATGGGATACAAGTATTTTGTGTTATTCATTGATGACTATACCAGGTCCACTTGGATCTACTTTCTCAAACACAAATCAAAAGTTTTTCCAACCTTCCAGTTGTTTCATAACATGGTTCAAGTTCGATTTCAAGCAAATGTGCAAACCTTATGCTCAGACTCAGGGGGAGGATACAGTGACAGAGAATTTCTGGTTTATCTGAAACATCATGGCATACAAGTCCAACGATGCTATCCAAATACTCCTCAGCAAAATGGTGTGGCAGAAAGAATGGCCACATTCTTAGTGTTGTAAGGACTCTTCTACAAGAGTCACATGCGCCTCCCACATTCTGGGTAGAGGTCGCTAGCATGACAATGTATCTGATCAATTGTATCACATCTTTTGTTCTTGCTAACATATCTCCTCATCAGAAGATGTTTGGATCCCCCCAGATCTTTCACATCTTCATGTCTTTGGGTGTCTATGCTTTGTTCATCTTCCTCCTCGTGAACATTCAAAGCTTTCAGCTCAATCTATCATGCGCGCTTTTATATGGGATATAGCCCTAACCACAAGGGATTCCATTGTAATGATCCCTCAACATGTCATATTCGTACGTATTTTCAACCATGTAAAACGCAAAACCTCTTTTTTTCCTCAATTGCATTACTTCAAATAGATAATGTGATGTAAAACATCTTGCATTCTTGATTCAATGAGCCGCCTTTATACCAAGCCCAAACAAGTCCGTGTTTTTTTTGGTAAGAAACAAGTCCATGTTAGGGTCTTAGATTCTTAATCCTTCCACAAAAATAATGATTATATAATTTTAATTGCCTTTTAAGAAGATATTTTATTTAAGATGAATGAATGAACAACCCCATATTTGCTAATGTTGTTCATTCATTCATCTTAATAAAATATTTTCTTAAAAGGGATCCCCCACCCCAGCCATTAGGTTCAAAAAAAAAAACAAATAAAAAAAAAATTTGAAAGTGTTATGCCTAGGACCTAGGAGAAGCGCATACCTTAAAACGTGCCTCGCCTTAGTGCTTAGGCACACCTTTTAAATCACTGCTTCCCCCACAATCCACACTTCCACTCTTCGGGCTTCTCTAATCTTTAGTGCCACCAGACCTCTAATTCTCAACTCCTTGAACAACAAATTCTTCACCTTCACTCTTACAGTCCTCTACTTAGCTAGGATTTAACTTCAAACCCCAATAAAGTTTGCACAATATGTCAGCTCATCATCTTGCATATTAATTCCCGCCACTCGCTCTCCATTAGGTTGACTATGAAATTAGAGATCTTTCCAAACAGAAAGATAACTCCTTCAAGTTCCTAAGGTAGTTATCATTCCCATCTTCACAAAAAAGGATCAAGTCATCTGCAAATTGAAGGTAACAGTAGTCTCCTGCCTCCGCGCTCTCCAATCTCTAATCTTCTTATTAAGATCAACTTTTGTTATCAACTTATTCTAAACATCAGCCACCAAGGTAAACAAAAATGGAGAGAAAAAAGAAAGAACTCTTGTTGTTGGGTAAATGGCAAAGAGACAGATCACTTAGAAGAAGAAATAAGAGAGAGAAAGAAAGAAGGAAAAAGACAACTTATTAACTCAGTTGTCCCTTTATAGATTACAATTTGGACTAGGAAACTGACCCAAAAACAACTTCTAACTGCTTTAAAACTAAAACAAATCCATTGGTGACCCACAATGACACTTAGATAAGAATTCCAATTCCTAAACAACTCTAATAGCACTTTCCTAATCCCATTAAAACTAAATTTAAAGACATCAGGAATTACTAGAAATTATAAATTGTAAGTTTACTAAACATAGTAATTATGAGAAGTGCAGAAGTTATCATAGATAGTAATTTCGAGACAACATTAAAATTCTAGGGAACTTATTCCTGAACTCCAACATATTCAATAAAAATTGTATCATAAGTAGACATCCTTTTATTTTTCACCAGCTCTTCTCCCGTAGATTTCCTTCAAGAGGAAAATGAGGCCAAAAGTCTTTTGTCGAGACCATTTCTTCCTTCTCTTCAGATCTGTTAGTTTCTTTTTGAGCTTCCAAAGAGGCTCAAACTGATTTAGCCAAGTGCATGCTCCTGTATCACTCCCCAACAAAATATAATTCTTTTCCCATGCAGCTAATTTTATTGAGAATCTTTCAAAAACTGGGTTCCAAAAGCTATTGATCTTTAGTCTTGCAAAATATGGATTCAAAGGGCTTTTTGTATAGTGACAGATGTATGTCTGAGAGATTTTTGTATCGTAGAGCTGATTGTTTATGGTTCATGTGCGCATCCCCTTATGCATAAAATAATTTTTTGACTATTAATACAATAAAAATTACCTTTCACTCAATAAAAAAGGAGCCTTTATACTTCAAAGATATTGAAGCCATAATAAAGTCACTTTCCTTACAACTTTAGGGTTCACAAGTTGTCCATTGACAAGATTCTGGTGTCAATAGATATGGCTTTTCAATTTCTATCTAATGAGATTAAAATCCTTTGGATCAGATGATAATGTGGGGCAGTTATGTCTATTGCATGCATGAGGTGCGAACTTTTTGTTGATATGTAAAAGGTGTCAATTGGCCACAGGATTTCCATCTTTCTGTTGTGTATTTATTAATCTATCATCAAATAACAATCCAATGTGATATTAGACATTAAAAACTAAACAGTTCATCTACAATGCACTACATTCACAATGACTAAACATTATGAACAAAAAGATATACACAACAAAACAGCTAACAAGTACAAATAAAGAAAAAGCTTCCACAACCTGATCAAGAGTACACTCTTCTGTATGCCTCAGAGAATGTGGCAGGTCTACATTTCCTCCAGCTGGCATCGAAACCAAAACATGCCAACTATGACAAGATAAAAGTAAATTTTCATAATATTGAATCGTTGATAAGTTTAAACATCATAACAAGAATTGTGAAGTGTTAAGACCCAAATATACTAAAATCCGATCTGGAATGCCAGATGGCTCTTGTATATAAATGAAAAGTGAAATAAACTGTAACTGGTACACTGATACAGGTAAAGGTGCTAAACGAATCATTCTGCTCTTTTCTTTTGATACTAAGTTCATGGACATTTTTATGACACAATCATCATTTTACAGTTTATTAACTCAAAACAATGTCCTTTGATCAGTTCTCTAGCAATCTAAGAACAGAAACTCTACCAATAATTTGAACACAATGTGTCCCTTGGAGTAGAGATATTTGAAGTGTTCATTTCGTTGCACCTATTTCTTTATAGTAACTTAGTAAGCATGATAATAGTCTTTTGATAGCAAAATCTATAAGGGCTCCTCTACTGTGTATAAAGAGCTTCTTCATGTAAGCTACCAGGCAAAGAGTCATAGCCCTGACAATCTGAACCGAGATTTAAACATGGTTGTATGCAGCCCAGCCAACTTCGAACCAAACCAGGCTGCTCAAGGTCAACTCGGTTTGATACCCAGTCCCAAATAACTTAATGGGTTTGTCTTCCTTGCAAAGAAACCTGAGCCCCCCCCCCAGCAGAAAACAAGAAAAAATAAATAGAGGATCACATCATTTTATCAGGAGGAAGTCAGGTGACCACAAAGGTTATGGTAGGTGGCGGTGACACTTGTGTCAGAGACAACTCCCATCCACATCAACTTGGTTCCCAAGAGAGGATACCACCTAAGTCAGCGAGTCTTAATACCAGCTCCAGAACCAACGATGGTTCTGATCATGCATGAAAGGGAGGGCCAGTTAGAAAACTAAGAGGAGGTTAGCAACTTAAGCCCTATTGCAGTGGTGCCATTGGGTGATCAGCCAGCAGTAGGTGAGGCATCAACCGTAGCTTTGAACAAAATGCACCTCAATGGAATGATGGGGTTCAGTTTGAATAAAAGAGAGTGCTTGAAGAGAAAGGCAGGACGGGTAGGTAGAAGAACAGGGAGGGAGTTACTCAGAGTTAAATTGGGTCTTAATTACAGTGCAGGGTCAGTAAACAAGGGCAGAAAGGAGGGAAGAAAGTCCTATAGATAGATCTGTGTATGTTAGAGAGAGAACGAGGGCATTAGCCTCCTAAACATTTTATTAGAGAGGTTAGATCTGTGGCTTCCAAAGTGAAGATCTCATTCATATGGATTCATCAGTTATAGGCTCAGAGATTAACCAACTCACAACTTGCTAGCAATTAGTTTGGCGGGGGAGTAATGGGGAAGAATGAGATATCTTCCCAGATGGTCACGATTTAGTGTTGTGGGTTTCAGGTTTTGTTATATCAGATGTGGCAACTGGTACTAGTGTAAAGTTTCAGGTTTTGTTATATCAGATGTGGCAACTGGTACTAGTGTAAGGCCATATTTGAGTCCTTATTAAGGATATCAATGGGCCAGGTTTGGTACAGGTTTGGCTCGACTCTGACCCAACCCGACTAAACAAGGATAGAATGCTAAACCTGATCCAACCCATCTCACATATAGAACCAGTGATTTAAAAGGCATGCCTAGGTGAGGCACATTTTAGGGTATGCACCTCGCCTAGGTTCTAGGCGCGGCCCTTTCAAAAGGCACACACCTGGTGCGCCTGATGCGCCTTGCACCTCAGCACAGGTGTGCCTTTTGAAAATTCCATGCCTTTTGAAACCCCTTATTTGCTAATGTTGTTTATTCATTCAACCTAATAAAATATCTTCTTAAAAAGCAATTAAAATTATAAAATCATTATTTTTTTGTGTGAGAACTAAGATATTAAGACCCTAACATGGACTTGTTTGGGCTTGCCTCGAGGGGCGTGGCACAAAGGCGACGTAGAATCAGGAATGTAATATGTTTTACATCACATTAGTTACTTGAAGTAATGCAATTGAGGAAAAAAAGAGGTTATGGGTTTTACATGCTTGAAAATGTTTTATATGTTTGATTTTATTTTTAAATTTTCATTTGAATACGCTTTACATGTTATGTATGTGTATTTTAATTTTAGATAATAGGTTTTTTAAAAAACATTTATTTTAAAATTTAAGTTATATTTTTTATATTATGTTTAATATTTCTTTTATTATTTTTTGGCATTTTTTGAATTTTCTKACACTTTTTTATTTTTAGCATTTATGTGGCTTGCTTCAGAAAAGCACATGCCTCGCCTTGTGCCTTGTGCCTTGTGCCTTGCACCTCAAGCGCAAATTGGCCCCTATTGGCCCCTGCGCCTTTTTTGCACTTGTGCTTTTAAAACACTGTATAGAACATATATACTCAACCAAGACTATACATACAAACATTTCAATTCTGCAATGCCAACAGATCAGGTTTGGCATGGATTTACCTTTCAACCTGAACGAACCTAACCCAAAGCCCAATTAATGTTGACCCAATCCAAACCCGATAGTGGTAAACCTAAAAACAATCTACTGATATCCCTACTTATTCTCAAAAGGATTTGATAATCATATTATCTTTACTCTTATTTAATAATATTGTTACATTGCCATTGAAGAAAAGATAAAGAGGGCTGGTCAAGGAGAAGATATTTACGGTGTTTCTCATCATAGAGAGCTTTCACCTCATCTTCAATAAGTGGACCACCTAATTGGCCACTTTTCCTTTTTTTTATTGGTTTAATATTTGTATGCTGTAAACAGCTGGTGTCATATGGTACAAACATTTTTCAGAACTAGTTCATGTAATATGATGTGATTTTCGGTGCAAGTCTTTAAATAACATCCAGGGTTCCTCTATAGACAGGAAACAACAAAGTTGAGGTTAGATATTACTAATTCCGGGAAAATAAGGGAGAATTATTTATTCTAACCTACAAAGAGAAATTACCTATCAAGACGGCAAACTGAACCTGTAATAGCCTTAGAAAGAGACATCTTCACAGCTGATTTCCATGCAAAAGGAAATGAACCACCCTGAAGAAATATACAAGACCATTAAGTCAATAATGTAGTAGAGCAGTTATATTGAGAATTCCATGTAATCTAATTCTTACCCAACCAAAACTCCTCGACAAATCATTGCCAGTACCAAGCGGAATTATTCCTATTGGAGGAACTGGTTCTCGATTCTGCCTATAAAGTTCTCCAAGGCTTCCGAGAACCCAACCCACTGTGCCATCGCCTCCCGCAACCTGCACAGAATAATCTTAAGCTCTTCTCAAAGCAGGAATATTTTCTGACAAGCAACCTAGTATCTACATTAGAATCTCAGTAAAATTGCAACTGTCCACTTTTGCTTGCATGTGAGTTACAATATCCTAATATGTATTATTTAAACATAATACTGATAATTACATTTAGGTCAGTCTTCACTGGAACAAGTGCCAAACACAAATAAATAAATGGGGTTTGTAAACTATTGAAAGTAAACAAGGCAGTAAGAAGCACAATTGAGAGAACAGGTAGGTATTTTAAGGAGTATTAGAAAGTACTTATTTCAAATGGAATCAAAATGATGGTCAGAAAATGTGCATCGTGTGAAGATGCAACCCAAATTGCTTACAGTGGGAGGCACCCTGATTAAAAATTGTCAACTTTATATACTTATCTGTAGATGAAGAACCTCCTATCCTTAGTTGGCAACACAACATGGGTGTCAGGAATTAACAAGGAACATTAATGATTTGGAAGAAGTACTTATATGACTGAAGAAGAGAACCAATAGATGCTCTCTAGCACTTCTGATTTATGAGGCGTGACACAAGAATCAAATAGCAGGCATGCAAGGCCCATTATAGTGAAATCATATTCAAATCTCTATCAAATGAAATGAAGGAGGATCCTTTCCCAGTGGAAGTCGCTGGACTTCTGGCATCCCATCAAATGTTTGAACAGCCTTCTTGTATAAACCAAGTACTGCATCAACATTTCAATTAGATGTTGCTTGCAACAGCAAAGGTTTCAGACCCCAAGGATGGACATTATGAAATATATTACTTTTCTCTCTATGTTATCCTTACAAAAGAAACATAAGCAACATTTATTTGGAGACAAGAATTTCTTGTTGATAAGATGGTAAGAAGATGAAATTAAAAAAGAAACATTGCATTTTATTGCCCTCAGTAGTTCAATCCTAGTTAAGTTTGCAAATATTAGGTCATTAAGATATTCAAAATTATTTTTTCATACTTTGAAGCATGTTTACTTTTCATTTTCATTGTCTTTACTGACCAGCTTTTTCTTGCTTTTTTTCATATACGAGGCCAAAAGGGCCAAAAGGCATACCCCCTCTATATTGAAAAATCAATACTATATCAAATAATACTAATAAAAGCAACAACAACAACAATAACAATAAGTGAGCAATTGACAAACTCAAGCCAACATACCACAACCCTCAACTTTGAACGAATATCTCTTGCACAATGATCACCAAGGTCAGCCAACTTCTCCAAGCAAGCTAATCCATACTGCACAAATTCTGTAGGCTTCACAACTGAAAGATCAAAAACCTGCATTACATATGATAATATGAAATTTTCAGACATATTACTAACATAAAGTTCCTAAGTTAATATAAATAACAAAAGAGAAAACCCACAGTCAATTTGAAAACATGTAATCAACTAGCAAAAATCAACCATGAGAAAATACAGGAAATCACCATTTTGCTGAGTGAGAAGAATAATGAAAAGTAAGAGCACTAACTCATGTATGGTCTAAATTTCAATCTGCATCCTCTACAAAAAAAGGTAGTATGGAGGATAATTGAGAAAAAAGTTCATTCGGATATCAATTTTAAATTTCAACACGAATATCAAGGCATAAAGAAATTTTGGAAATGTGTCAAATATTCATAAAAAAAAAAAAAAAAATAGAACCTTAAACCAAAACAGGCAAAATTTTTGGTTGAAAACTTGAAATCTTGGAACATTTTGACATTTATGAAATTGCTTGAAATCAATTTTTTATCAAAAATAGAACCTCGATTCAAGACATTGTGGAGTGGCAAAGCTGCATCCCCAGAGGGTTTCCCCTTGACCTCTTTGAATACACTTTAAGGCGTCATCAAGGAAGATTTCGTGGAGAGTTCTGACGTAAAATAAATTTCGTCAGCATAACTGCTTTCAATCGAAGTTGTTATTAAGACCCTGATAAATCCTGGCACTACAACATAGTTTGAGCAACCAGCTGAGAGGGAATAAAAAGCTATTATACTATCCAGCACCACAATCATAAGCGAACACCACTCTTTCCCCTGAATAATAGGATCTCTTCTGGCAATCTACGAAAATAGCAATCGCTATCTGTCGACTAGAATCACTATAATAGAGGTTTGATCCTATTAAATAAAAACCAAATTCACCAATTTTCCATTCGTTTATAATCACAGCATATTACTGCTGTAACCTCATTGTAGAAGCAGAAATTCTGGATGCTTAGAGCTCAGCACTTAGCTAGTCTCTTTTCTGCTTACTATTAAACACAAAAAAGAGCACATAAAGTGGCTCCACGTATGCACACAATTCTCGCTTAAGCAATCAAAAGTGATTCAGCTCACAGACACAGGTTCTTACAGTTCCCAAAAGAAATCAAAAACCCATCTTCCAGCGAGCCAACCAAAACCCTAAACTGAATTCACAAAACAATGGAATCTTTGAATACTTAACCTGTTCTTGACCCATCAGCTCCTGAAGCCTCCCCTTAAGAATCGGCCCATACCGTCCCCCACTCCTCGAGTTCACGAAAACAACCATCGGCGCCTCCGGTGCCTGCTCGTTCCCACTCCCAGCGTGCCGGTCGCCGGCATTCGGGTCCTTCGACTGAATCGCGTTTCGCATAGCAAGACGGAGGTACTCCGGTATCAGAATCCTTCTCTTTAAATCCTCCTTATCGATTCGAACCCCCGATAAACCACACCCTTTCAACGAGTCGACAAGCGACGATCGTGCTACTATCCGAGTCGACTCGCCTCGATTCCCCGACGGTGAAGCCATCTCGCCGTCTCTCTCTTCCCACCGCGCCATTTCGCTGCTTTTAGAGTTTAGACCGAAATTAAAAGAACCTTACACCAAGAAAATAATAAAAAAGACAAATTCGGAAATATTTTACCTCTTTTTTATGAATTATTATTACTATTTCCATTTTTTTAATAATAAAAGGTAATTTCGAACTGGAGAGAGAGAGAGAGAATGGTTTTCGTCTTCTAGAAGGAGATTTTCAGAAAGCGTAGCGGTGGGGACACGGTGGTCCGGCCCTGGAAATTTTTCTCAGGCAAATGGATGGCTACTTGGATTCCGAGGAAGACAAGACTATTTATGGGAATGCCCTTGGAGTTCCGTTTATTTACGAAAATACGTCTGTATAATTAGACACTACTAAGATTCTGAATTGTACTAACGTACGCTTTTAGCTTTTATGCACATTAAAGATGCATGGAGAAGGAAATAATTAAAAAGGGCCCAAACACCATCATCCTAATCGATACATCACGTGAATTTGTTTCATCCACTTTTTTTTTTTTTCCTTTTTAGTAATAAGTGGGGAAAAAGAAGTATTTATTCCAAACAGCAAGGACATGTTTAGAATACTAAATTGCTTTTTCGAAAGGAGGGTAGTAATGGTATTTTAAAAACGATGTTGTGGGACAAGACAGGTCCAAAGCAATCACGTGTTTAGTTATCTTTTAGGTTTATAGGTGGTGGTTTATTTGTGGGACGAGATAGGTCCAAATGTTTTTAAACATTTTTTATTTTTCTTGTTTGTTTGGTTGGGTTTTATTTTAAACATTTTTTATTTTTTATCTCAAATTAATACCCGTTAAAGTGTGATACTCAGCATTTGGTTTCAAGAAATATTGGGGTGTTAGGAGAAATAAGAATTTGGCATTTCTCCCTACGCCCCGCCCCATACACAAAAAACCAAAACATTTCAGTTTTTTACCATTTATTTAATAAATAGTGAAATCAAACAGTTGTTTTATTTTGCTTCATATATAATAAACGTCAATACCCATGTGGCGGCCTTTTTTCAATAAATACCAATGGAATCAAACACATAATTAGTATTTATTGAAAATAAGTTTAGGCTTTGTTTGGCATGGGGCATCTTGCCTCTCTAAATAGGCATTTTTAAGAACAGTTTTGAAAAAGCGTTTAAAATCCACTTGGTAAGAAATTTTTTCGGAGTGATTTTTCTAATTAAAAAGAAAACACTTATTTGACAAAATTGTTTAATAAAAAATGGACTTTTGCCAATATAAATATTGTCTTCCATTGTGTATAAACATAAGAAAACACACATGTATAAACACCATGTGTGTAATATTCATGTTTGGGTAGTTACATTTGTTAGTTTGGTTCCATGGAGACATCAAATCATACCTGATTTGTCGCAAAACCCATTATTAAAGGTGTTTGATTCAAAACAAACAACAACAAAAAATAAAGAAGGATAATATGGAGTTATGAGAATCATTCAATCAGTTTTTTCAATGAAAAAACAGGAAATATGGTTGGAAAACAAACATACATAGTTGTAGCTCAACCCTGCTGCTGCAAGTGGTGAGAAGTGAAAATGGTATGAAAAAGTGAGGAAGAATGTGGGGCGAGGGCTTTAGAATTGATAAGAGCATTTTGAGTGTTAAGAAAAGTTTAAATGGGCAAAACTGGGTGGGAAATAAAAGAAGTGCTTCTTGAAAATGCAAGAAGCCAAACTCACCCATCAACTACTTTTTCCGTGGAAAAGGCCTGCATCCTATTTTTGGGTTCTAAAACGCAATAAGTACTAGAAATACTTATTTTAAGTCATGCCAAACATGGCCTTATTTCATGAACAAGCACTTTTGGGTGTTCATTTTATCAAGCCAATAAAGTGCCTATCGGTGTGGACCTTATCTTAAAAAAACACTTATTTCAATGAGCGCTTAAAAATAAGCATTCACAAACATAACGTGGACTGGGGTACTTCAAAATGGAAGAATCAAGAGGTTGAGCCTCTGGGATTAGTGGTCGGCATTCTGTATCATTGGAAAAGATTCCAATCTAACATTCATTCATTAAAAGTAGGAATGTATTTGAAAATGAAAATGGAAGCAAATTTGGTTTCTTTCACATTTTTTGCATTCAAATGGTATCAATTTTTTTTATATAAAAAATGCAAGTAAATTTTCAGAAATTGGAAACAAACTTTACTTTGAATGAGCCATTTTTGAAGAAACAAACTTTACTTTGAATGAGCCATTTTTGAAGAAACAAACTTTACTCAGTGCCCATTTGGGAGGGCTTTCACACAGTTAAAAAGGATTACAAGCACAGAAAGAACAGGAAACAAGAACAGAAAACCCAAAAAACAGAAAACAAAGAAGCCCACAACCAAGAGAGAAAAAGAGGAAATGAAAACTAAGGAGGTCTATCAAACTTCAAATTAATACCTTCAAAATTGAAAAGAGGCCAAACAGCAGGCTGACAGCACTCAAAAGACCAGAGACTGAGACATACGAGCTTTAATCAAATTAAGAGTCACTTAAGACAATGGTTTTTGAACCGTCATTGACCCGGATGGTCAGACCGTTTGACCCGATAACTGTTCAGACAACCGATTTCTAGTCAAAAATCATTGAACCGATCAACGATCTATTGACCCGGGCGGTCAAACTGTCAACTCGTTCAATGGTTTTGACCATTTTATTTTTTTATTCTTTTTTATTTTTGTTGTCAAAACAGGTTGTCTATTTGAAACGGGCAGTCAAACCATTGACCTAGAAACCAATGACCAAAACAGTTCTGTTTCCGGGACATTTTTTCAAACTATGCTTAAGACTAATAAATTTACTATACCAAGGTATTTTACAATAAGGCTGCAATTTCTAATAACCAATAAGCTTCAGCAAATTCAGCAGATTTCACCTTACACAGACCCCAAAGCCACTTCTAGCTTTGCAAGACCGTCCCACATGAAGCTATGTTTGATGAAATATTCAGAAAATCGACTTTTCAATGAAGCTAGTTTTCAATAACTGTAATGTGGCTAGTCAATGCCATTTAATTTGAAGCCCCCCAGATGGACTCTCAAATCAATTTCACTAAAAAGTCTTTTTTTTGCTGAAAAAAATCCCTTTCCATGATTTTCGCCAACATAACTTTTGGACACTACAAGAAAAACGGTCAAAGCCACTGGTCCTATARCTGCCGGCTTATGAGTGCTTATGGTTTGGGTAACTGAATCATGGGCATTTTTTTGGACCGAACTGGTAGTACCGGTTTTTGGAAAACCGGTAATTGGAACCGAATCAAAACTAGTCGGTTAATCGGTTGACCGGTTCGGTTAACCGACGGTTTGGTTCGTCGGTTTTTCAGTTTTTTTTACTTTATAATATTTATTATAAAAGTATATATAAATATATAATAAAATTTATAAATATATATAATATTATATTTTAAATGATAAATAATACATAATATATTATAAATATATATTTATATATAATGTGTATTTATTATTTATAATATATAAAATACATATAGTATACATAACATGTATACTAGTCGGTTCGATTAACCACCAGTTTTTTAAATTGGTTAACCGAAACCGAATGGTGCCTTCGGTTTTTTAAAATCACTGAACTGAAACCAAACTGACCGATTCAATTAACTAATTTTTCAGTTCGGTTTCAGTCGATTTTTTCGGTCAGTTCGATTTTTCAATCTTTTTGCTCACCCCTACTTTAGACCAAGCGTGCACTCAAAGATCGAGAAATTGAAAAATGGAACCGAAACCTGAAATTTAAACCAAAAATCCAGTTAATTGAACCTAGGAAGAAACCATGATTAACTGAACCGATCTATATATATTATACCGATTAACTGGTTAATAATACATTCAATTGATTTGATTTAGTTTCAATTCAAAATTTTAAAAACCGTTAAGATTAGCTTGATTTTAAATATGTGCCCCCGGATGCATGAGCACCCCTAGGTTTGACATTTCAATCCAAAAAAGTTAAAATTCATATTTATACCCATTACAATCAAACATTATAAAAAATTTATTTTAATTGATTCAGTTCAGTTTGGATTCAAAATTTTTAAAAACCAATAAGATTGATTGGGTCTTAAATATGCATCTACCAGAGCACCCCTAGATTTCACATTTTAAAGCTAAAAAATTAAAATTTATATTTATACCCATTACAACCAAACATTCTAAAAAATTTATTAATACAAAATTTACATATTTTTTCAATTAGAGCTTCTCTATCATGTATAAGTAGCAAATTCCGAGAAATCGAGAATTCATATCAATTCCCACAGCATATCCCAGCCGTGCAATCGAAACATCTTAATGATACGAGAGATTTTTTGAAACTTGAACTTTGTCCGAACGCAAGAAAGTACATGTTAGGAATATGACAGATCAAACACATCAGATGACAGTGGTTCATTGATGATGAGTGGTTGGGGTCCTTTATGTGCTAAAGACTGTGGCCTTTCAATGATCACGGCAGTTGGCAGATGATGATCTGTATTCTATGAAGGGTCAGGGTTTGGTGATTAAGGAATTGGCCCTAATAAACTCTTATGACATGAAACAAATAATTGCAGCATTAATTAATTTCAGATATTGGATATTTTGAAATGCCGTAAATATGGGATGGTTATATTGTATGAAATTTTATTTGAATTATTTATTATTTTAAAATGATTTATTTAACTCTTATAAACTGAACAAGCTAAGTATATTAATCATATATAATATATGGTATATTAGATCTAAGTATCCACTTTTTATATATTATGTATTAGGGAAAAGTGCAAATACATACATACATATATATATATATAACCAAACAAACCCAATTATATGGTCTTATGAGTTTGCATTATGTTTTATATTTATAAGTAGGTTGGGTAAAGAGGTAACTTAACTAGGGATGAAAATGGGGAAGATCATGATTTGATCTTATTTCGAATTTGGTCCTATTTTGTTGGACTCAGATATCTCCCCTCTTAGATTTTATTAGATTAGATCAAATCGGATCAAATAATAGGATTTGATTAAAAAAT